ATCTATGTAAATTCTCAATCATCCAAGTCATGGTTGTCCTAAAGATGCTTTTCCAAAAGGCAACTGGATTTCTTGTTTTTTTCTTTGAAAGTATTTCACTTCTCATCTAAGAACTGAAGAAGGGGACAGCCATTGGAATTTCAAATCCAGGTTGTAAGTAGCCCTAGGGATGCCATAGCTTTGGTGGCTAAGCAGTCTTAACTTGAGGATTAGATTGAGGCATATTATACAACTTCCAAAGCTATTCAGTGAAAGAGGGTTTTGTTTTTCTATCTTTCTATCTTTATGTTTTTTTATTTATTTTTGATGGTGTTTTTGAGATAATGTGATTGCTGTGTGGTGAGAAAGTTTTCCTTTTCTTAATTTCTTCTGTTATCTGATTATTTGAGTTGAACAAAATAATTGGGTCAAGTGCACAGATACATGAACCACCAAGAGGTCATTCAAATAATTGGGTATGTCCATACATGGGGTATAACCTGCCAACATCATCATGGAATGGTCTTCCAAGATATTACAAACTCAAGGAGTTGAGTGATGTCTTGTGTAACTTGTCCAATAAACTGTAACATTAATCTAAGCACAATAGGGAGCTTAGCTGTCTTGTACTGGGGAAATGACAGATCTGGTGAACTTCCCTGAAATGAAACAAGCAACTTTATCTGTCAGTGACATGGACTTCTAGGATCCTCACAACCTGTGATTGACAAGCTGGAGGCACTTGTGAAACTTGTACTTCAGGAAAGTATTTTTAGAATTACCTTTTGTCGTTATTTAAAATAGAAATAAGAGTCATTACACCCTTAAAAAAAGGGCTTATTTGTAGAAGTGTAAACCTTCCAAAATAATTTGTTGTGGTTCTAATTGCAACTCTCCTGTTATAAAGCTTTTTTTTATTATATTTATGCTCTCTAAACAATCTTTGAACTTCTATTAATGTATAGCAAATCCTTTCATAGCTTTTTAAAGCTACCACTGGATTATTTACACATATTTACTATTTTCCACCAAAATAAATGTTTCAGCTAAAAATGGAATTGTGAAAAGATTGTCTCTTTTTCTCTTTTGTTATAATCATAAGGAGAACATTAACATTTTAAGTGTCTGCTCCTGCATAGTAAATATTTTTTTTGTTCAAGAAAAAGACAAATTAATAGATTGATAATACCAGATGTTTCATATGAGAATGACATCTGTTTGTAAAACATAGCTGACCCTTTAAGCCTGTTCTCTAACACAATGCATTTTTGCCTGACTCATTATAAATAGTTGAAGAGACTGTTCTCTAGATATTGGTCTAAAGGATTAATTTTATTAAATAAAGATGAACAGTGAAGGCTCCATTACAGTTTGCAAAATTTTTGCTCATGACATTGATTGAACATTCTTCCTTGCCTATATTCCTGTAATTTGTAAATATAATATTTGAATGTATATCAACTTTTTTAAAAAGAGGATATCCAGATAGTCCTTGATTTACAACAGTTTGTTTAATGCTGTTTGAAGTTACAACAGCACGGAAAAAAGTGATTTATGACCATTTTTCACACTTATAACCGTTGCAGCATTCCCATGGTCACGAGATCAGAATTGGGATGCTTGGCAACTGGCTCATATTTATGACAGTGGTGATGCCCCTTTTGACAAGCTAAGTCAATGGGGAGGCCAGATTCATTTAACAACTATGTTACTAACTGAGCAACTGTAGTGATTCATTTAACAACTTTGGCAAGGAAGGTCATAAAATGGGGCAAAATTCACATTCTGAATCTGGAAGAACAAAACCAATTTCAGCATAATAAAAAACATCAGGATGTGATGAGCAGCAGGAATCATTAGCTAACAGATATCCCATCATCTGTATTTATCTGCTTTGTAGATACACATTAATAAAGTTTGTACTCAAGCAGCTGTAGACTATTAAGTATGAGTACAATACATGGAAAGTGCTATACTGTAAGCATAAATGACACTGGTCATTGGATACACCACTGTTTCTCAACCTTATACTTTAAGATATGTGAACTTCAACTCTTCAGCTAGCATAGTTTTTTTAACATTTTAGAGGTGTACTGCATATTAAACTGGATTGAGTGAGAGATAACTGAGTGGACTTCCAGTTTGCTATCGCAGCGTCTACGGATGCATGGAAGCAAGCTCTGTCTTCAGTGTCCAATTTTCTCTCTCTGGGGGAGAAACTCACCCTGTAGGGGCGATGAGCAAGGAGATGAGCCCCGCTTGATCGCGGAAGGGCGGTAGCCCTGCCGCTTGATCTGAGGCAGCTCTCCAAACTGGTGGGGAAAAGACCGTCCATAGCAATATGGCTCATCACTACGCTGCTGACAGCCAAAGTCAAAACTATTACCAAGCACCTTAAAGCAACGTGGATGAAACTGGGTGAGATCTGATCTTCTCTTTAAGACTTTAAATATCTTTCTTGCAAAAGCTGCCCAAAGTATTTCTCCCCCTGTGAGGGAGAGGGAAGGGAATTCTTACCCCACCCTCTAAGAACAGCGGCAACTGACTACCCAGGGGAAATAGATCAATTATAAGAACAACTTTATTTTAATTGGATGCAAATGCCTTTGAAATTTGGAGACTAAAAGTTTTCCTATTCTTACTGGAGATGTTGTTTTTTATCTAAAAAGAAAAAAATAAACCTTGAAAACTATTATTAAAACTCGGGAACTTAAAAAATTTTAAACGGCGTTAGTGACATCTTGTGGTGAAGTATGGTACTACAATTGTTATTGACTTGGCTTGAAGCCCAGAATTTAGGAAAAACTATCTTGACCTTGACAGATACCACCTGTGAAAAACCCAGCTGTAAAGAAGGAACTGCAGGGTGGCATATCTGGCCTGTTTGAAATATGAAGATAAATCTTTATTGATTTTCAGAGTTATATGTGGGAAATTATTTTCCTATTTCTTTACATGAGAAGTATCTGTTATTACACGAGATGATGGAATACTTTGGACTATAAATTCTTACTTCGCAAACAATTTCCACTATAAAGACTACCTACAACATGTGAAATAGATTCCCATACCTAGCTATAGAAAACAAAAAACTATTTTTAATGTTTGATTTTAAAATCTTCAACTTAATACATTATCAAGAGAATATGAATGAATAATAGGAAAAAATCATTTTTATGTTGAAATCAATACACGAAACCATTCTTTCAGCATGTGACAAAATAAGAGGCAATATAAAGGAACAAGATGCCAGCTTAGATATACAAACCCAGATCTTGACTACAACCAAAGAACTAACAATGCAGAAAGTAACAGGAGAAGTGGAACAACTAAATACTAAGACAGAGGACCCAACAGGCCAACAGATCCAGCCAATGGGAAAATTAGAAAAGAGAGTGACAACATTGAAAATGGAAAAGACTTTTTACATAAATTAGAAGAAATTTGAGGAAAAGGAAGAAGAACATATTGAATGGAAGATAAACTTATCAGGACAATTGTGAAAACTTGGAGTAATAGGGAGGCGATAAAATGAATACAATTGGGCTAGTTCTTCCAAAAAAAGTGTAATTAAATGGTCTTTCTTATTTCAAATAATACATACAATAATAGAGGGATAACTGTTTGAGGATTCAAAAGTACTGACATGGAAGCTTAGTTGGCAAAGGAAAAAAGCCAGAGTAAGGCTGAAAGAAACTAGGGTTTGGTTTATTAGAGGGGATTCTATACTATTGATTAGAGGGTTGAATATGGTGGAAAATAGATATTTTTTTAGAAAATAAAGTAACATTATAATTGAATAGGTAAGATGTATAATAAGATTAATAGACTTTTGGTTTAATATGGTGAAAAATAGATATTTTTAGAAAATATAATATTATATGCAAATAGATAAGATGTGTATTTAGAATATTAGATTTTGTTATAAAAAGGGGGAAATGTAGAAGTTGAAATAAGGGAAACTCTGGTCACCTAAAGCTTGGAAATTATAAAATACCAAATGTTAAGTTGAATATTGAGAGGAAATTAAAGCTTGGGAAAAAAGCAATAACAGAACATTGATTGTATATAAAGATTGAATGCAAACACAATTAAGATATGCATAAGTTAAAATTTATTGATAAATGTAACAAAGATGGTTTTGCTTAGTTGATAGCAATAAGAACTATATTAGTTCAATATGAGATAGTAGATATTAAGGAAAAGAAAGGAAATATCTGATGATGCAACTTGAGATTTGTACTAAAGATTTATATATGTTATGGAATTATTGATTACCCAGTCACCAAATTGCTTTTTAAATGTTTAATTGTAAAATTAGAAAACTAATAAAATATTATTTTAAAAAAGTTAATAACTGAGTGATAGTAAAACAGATAATTTGTGAGATCCTTTCTTCCTCTCTCTTTCCTCCCCCAAATACCTTTCTCATATACACATGATATCCTTTTTCATTTGCAGAGAACCAATATATAGACAAATTGAGAAATAAAAATCCATATTGTTAATTTGCTTAAAAAGGAACTTAACTATGCCTTTACTGGCTTTTCACATCAACAGCTATCGGCTGAACATAACTATTGGGAATGAAAAAAATGGTTATGCTCACAAGTAGAGCAGGGAATTGAGCAAAACTCTTGATTATTCCAAAACATCTGTAAATAACTATGCAGTCATAAACTATTTTCAAATACCATATAATTAATTCTGCAAGCTTCTAAAATGTAGCTACTATAGACCACAGGGGTTTTTTTCAGTTTTTATGTAAGAAAACCAAATGAGAATTTAAAACAAACACAGATTTTTAAGAAGGAAATGCTGCATTGCTTCCCAATCCTTGATGACACTAGATTAATGCTACTGTCATGGTTCCGACAGACAGAGAAGAATAAAGCAGAACTCTGAGGCTTGAGAATTCCTCAAAGAACATGTTTATTAGTTACAAAGCACTGGCACATCAAAAGTGAAACCAAATCTGGAGACACACATAGCAATTTCCCAATACAAAGTTAAATGTCCCACCCATAAAACTATGCAAGCAACTATGTTCCCCAATATGATTATTTGGCGGGCTTTTTATGCAATGCTCCCTAGTCTCCGGAGCAGCTGATGACCTTGGTTCCCATGGGACAAAAGATTATTTTGACTAACGAAGCACCTGGGCAACCCCCCTTCATCTGTTCTATGTGGCAACCTAGAATGAGAAGAAAAAATGGCTGCAGCCATGCTCATCTGTAGAGTTGACAGCTGCTCTATCTTCTCATAAAATGGAAAACTAAAGGCAAATTGGGAATAGATGACCTTTGTCAAAATGTTAATATAAGGTTAATTGCTTGGGTCACAAAGGCTTTTATCTCTCAGTCAGCCAACCACCTATAGCATAGCATGCCCCCATTGTTAGCATATTACCAAACCTATATTGGATTCTCTTTGAGAGTTTATCCATGTGTGTTCATTATTTAGGAGCATGTGCCTTCTGAAACCTTGTAGGTCAGACATGTCAAACTTGCGACGTCACATGACGTTGCACAACATATCAGCTTTTTCGCCATTGCCGGCAATGGGGTGGATGCAGCTCCAGTATGATGAAACCAGCCCGTGGGCCGGCAGTTTGACACCCCTGTTGTAGGTAGACTTATGATTGCAACTGAGCCTGAAATTTTGATAATAAGTCATTGCAATCATAATTCAAGTCACCACATGATCAGACTTGATTTTTGGCTGCTAAGTGAGTTACACATGGGACTAAGTCCTAATCTAGTTTATCCAATGGATTGTTTTTGGTAGAAAATGGCAAAAGGCGCAAAACGTGATCACATGAATACAGAAGTTGTAACTTTGAAGATGGAGTCATAAGTTGTTTGAGTCTCTCATAGCTTTGAATAATTATTAGAGTCATTTGGTGGAGAGATAGATGTCAGACAAATTTAATAAATAAAACAAATTATTGAGGTTGTGTATCAAATTTTACAAATGCACATTTCCAGAATAGACCAGCTGTGTGTTGGACAAGCTGAGATTACTATTATATCTGTACGTGATGAAAAATCTTCTCTGTTAAATGATTTGAATTATACAATAATACAATAATATAATTTGCAGAGCTACTGGAGCTTTTTATTCATAGTAGTTTTAGTCACAAATAATACAGGCCTGCAATTGTATTTGGGCAAGTTAAAGAAAAGCAAAGCACCACTCCAACATTTCCAAAAGAGACTCTTCATTCTTTTCCTCAGCATATTGCTGAAGTGTGATACAAAACAAAACCACCTGTCCATGAAAAGACTGGGATATTCGTTAGTGATTAGAAGAGAAGGAGAATAAGAAAGGTTCAGTACCTGCAATTAAGAGAACATTGAGCTATGATAAAAGCAATACAACCTGTCTTCTTTATAATCATATTAGCAAGCATACATAGTTGCCAATTTATTCTGGGCCCTATAACAGTTGAGAAAGATAAAAACATCTCAAGCAAATAAAATCAGTCCATTCTGTTGAAAGAATATAATATTGTTCATCCTGGCAAATAAGTCTCTCCTCTCCGGAGGTTAGAAGTCAGATGACTCTCATTAAGTCAATCATTATTAACCTGGCTTGACCAGCAAGAACAGAAGGAAAGGCAATCTCTCTTTTTTGTAGGCATGGAGTCTAGACAGCGCTATTATGCTCAACACCCCTGTAGTGTGAAACATAACTACTTAGATTGCTTGGATAATAATGGCAGCCAGTCAGCTAGCCATTTTACAAGGGCTATAGTTGCTTGCTTCGTGGTGTAGTCAAATAATATTAAATCTCCCTGTCAGCATTCCATCATGAAGCCTATTCAGCTGGGGGATAATTTTTTTTTTTAACTTCGAGCAGCTGTAAGGGTATTACAGGAAAGCTAATATCAAGTTGTTTAGAAGGTGTTGCTCCGATATGTATGGCTCTCCCAGCTCCACAATAGCATCACACAATTTGTAGCTGTCTTTAAACCTGAAACATAAAGGGCTATGTTAGCAATAGTAATAACCAACAAAATTCAAGCTATTTGGGTGCCCCCCATAGGAGCTCATGGGTTGGGTGCATGCACCAGAAGGCCATAATGTCATTTCTTTAGTTTTAGCTTAATGGGATTTCCTTTGCAGTTTAGTATTTTGGGACTGTCAATGATACCATTCAGTGGAAAGCGCACCCTGAAGGAAGAGAATGACAAAGGTACCTCTGTCTTATGCTATTAATAAATAAATAATGGAACAAATCCAGATACAATAGCTAGCAGAAGTCAAGCTCATCCTAAAGGAAATATAATAAAAGTCACTGCAGTATAATAAATAAATCCCTGAATTTTTAATGTTATAGGGCAGAGGAAGTATTCAACCAAAGCATTGTTTAAAATGGTACTGTTCTACTCTAAATGCTAGTTTCATATATTTGCTTTTATTCTGTGCATATACTTGAAAGCTTTTTTTTTTTTCTTTCAAGCTATGTGCATGGTCCATCACTTATCCATTTCTCACCGTTGGTGAGTTCAAAGGAAGCCAGATCCTCAGTGATGTTATTTTATCCCATGCTATATAAATTCTCACTTCTTCTTTTTTTCAGTGTCCAATTTTTGAACAATATGATATATTAGCTAGATAAGAAGGCTTAGCATGTGCTTAGAAAGTAGTTGAATTATAGAAATTAGAAACAAATATTTTACATATAAGAGCAGATTTACCCTGTGGTAAGATGGACAACTAACAGGCAGGCAGGCAGGCATAAATCAATCAATCAATCAATCAATCAATCAGATCTGACCTTCTTAGTGAATACCTAAATAAATCAGTCTCAGAAACCTCACATGATGCTCTGGATATATCCTATATATGAATGTGTTGTGCAAATATTTTTCAAGAAATTGGAAATATTGTTCAGATCTTTAGATTCCCATGTATGGAGACCAAATAAAGCATATCTAATTTTTAATTTCAATATACAATCCTCCACCCATTCACTTAATGTAACAAGAGTTGTAAAGGCTGAATGACATAATTAAAAGACATAATTTAAATTAATTTGAAAAAGTGACATCAGGAACCATAATAGTAAAATAAATAATTTGGCCTGATCAATCAACTAATCAAGAAATTGGAAACCAACAGGGATGTACAGATAAGGAATGGTGTTAAAAATGGATCCCACGGTCAGTATTGATTGAGCATTTGAATTTTGGGGTTGGAGAAGACTCCTGAGAGTACTGTGGACAGCCATGAATCCCTGAAGTCTCACTCAAGGGGAAGAAGACAACCAATGGCAAGGTGGATTGATTCAGTTACAGTGACAATGAATGCACCATTGGGAGTCATGAAAGACCAGGTTAAGCATAGATTGGCATGGAGAATATTTATCTGTGTGGTCAACAGCAATAGCACTTAGATTTATATACTGTTTCATAGTGCTTTACAGCCCTCTCTAAGTGGTTTAAGAGTCAGCATATTGCCCCCAACAATCTGGGTCTTCATTTTACCAACCTTGGAAGGATGGAAGGTTGAGTTAACCTTGAGCCAGTGAGAGTTGAACTGCTGGCAGTCAGCAGAATTAGCCTGCAATACTGCATTCTAATCATTGTGCCACCATGGCTCTTATAAAGACTTGATAATCACATGATGGCTCACAATCAAATATGGGGAAGGTCAATTTAAGCCAACAAGAAACATGTATCCTTCTGCTAAACAAACAAAAAAACTAGAAGGGTATCAAAAAAATGTATTCTGACTTAGAAAGAGTAAAAAATGTGGTTCTTTCATTTTCAACTCTGGTCTCAGCAGCTTCAGCTCTCACCACCCACCAGCCCACAAGTTGAACAGAAAGTTGTAGGCAATAGTCCAAATGTTTTAAACCTTTTCATTAGAATGTTGAAAGCCTACTGCCAAGTTTTGGTATTTCTAATAAGCTGGTGCTTTGTTTTGTTTTCATTTGCTTGTTTTCACTGAAAAATCATATATGGCAATACAGAACTTGCTGGAATAAATTAAAGAGACCACAACAATTAAAATAATATTGTGTTGGCTTGCATTTCAGAGTTATTTTTTAAAATCTATTGTTTAAGTGTTGCACAACATTCTAGAAAATTGGGCTTGGAGTGCTCCCCTGTAGCTAATAAAGTCAGAAATGTATTGTCAGTGCCACATTTTTGAGCCTATTAAAAAATGGCATACAGGTCTTCAATTCAGTGTAAACAAGGACCCTCAATAATCACATGGAATGCTGCTTCTGTGCTTTGGAAAGAATACAGAGCAAGAGTCAAATAAAATCCAAATCCCTTTAGCAAAATAATTCCACAAATCACTCTGAATAAATTATACATATAAAGAAATAGCAGCTCCAGTTTTTTTCCCCTTTTATATACTGTAGCATACCACCAAATGCACATCTGATAAATTGATATAGCTTCAATATTTCTCTTTAAAACTGTACTTTTGAAAAAAAATATCATCACACCTATTTTACTTCTTTAAATTACAGTATGCTTAAACAGGAAGCTACTTCAGATTGTTCTCACCTTTCCCTGGGATGTTTGTTCCATGAAAATAGGCTCAGCATTATTCAAGTCAATGCCTGAAAATGAAACATCATTAGATAGAAATAAGTGGCAACTAGCATTATTCAAGAAAAATTTCAAAGTTTCTTGTGATGAAATATGATACAATTGTTCTGTATACAGGTAGTCCTCAATTTATGACCACAATTGGGCATATCAGATAAATTACCAACATTATTTTTTTTTTAAAAAAATGTATTATAAAATTGGATTGCCGATTTCACTGCAGATAAGCATTTTTTAAAAAAAATTATATTTCACATATTTCTGAAATTATTAAAACATCCACATATTGTTTTATACAATGAATGTTTTAATTATTTTAATTTGCTTTTTTCAGACAGTTTTTCAAACAGAATAGTGAATTATATGTAATTTGAAATAACTTCAAATTAACATCAATATATCTTTATAATTTGTTATTTGTCTATTTTTCTATATGAAATTCACTTAGATTATTTGTAGTCTCTAGAAATGTATAGTCTGAATTTTATTTTTCTTATATTTGGAGCCATTTAAAAGGACAATATTGCTTTAAAACAGCAATAAAATAAATCTGAACCTGTTTATTTTAACTGTTATTTAAATATACGTATGCATTTATATCATACATCAGGAAATAATATTTTTAATTAACTCATTTTTATGCCTGTCCAAAGGGCCTGTAACAGCATATATAATTTATGCTTTGTTTGTATATTAATAAAAGGAATTACTTTGCATAAGTAATAGCTATGGTTTAGATATTTTGTCTAGCTAATATACACATTTTAAAAAATAGCAATTTGAAGGTGAATTTTGTGGTCAATATTAAAATAAAAACCACATAATTGAATTCAACAGGCTTAGTCATTACTCAAGGAGGAATATCTATTAATATTTTTAAAAAACATTCTTAATTCTCCAGTGAATGTAGCCTATCAAACATTTTATATGCAACTTGTGAAATCTTGCCAAGAAAATTGAAGAGACAGGTAAACAGACAAAGAGATGGACAGTCCTTCCTCTTTGAATAACATAGCTAGATTTAAAACTTTAACTGTTGCAATACGCCTGCATCATTCTACTGTATTACCCTTCAGAGTAAGGAATATTATGTAAAGTGAAGAAAAGGAATGAGAAATAGAAAACAGAATTAATGATATGGCATGGCATGGATGACATGGCATGAGACAAAAGAAAATGAGAGAAAATACATTGTTACACCAACATCAGCAATTGCCATACCTTTTGAGTCTTGCAAACCACTGTGGCTTCTACTATGTCCATATGGTAATTTGTGCATAGCAATAGCAATAAGACTTAGACTTATACACTACTTCACGGTGCTTTACAGCACTCTCTAAGCAGTTTACAGAGTCAACATATTGCTCCCAACAATCTGGGTCCTCATTTTACCAACCTTGAAAGGATGGAAGGCTGAAATCAACTTTGACCTGGTCAGAATCAAACTGGTGGCAGTCGATAGAATTAGCCTGCAATACTGCATTCTAAGCACTATGCATCTTATTCTTCAAAAGTTCTCACCATTGTTGTGAGGATCTCAGCAACTCCATTCAACCTTGTCTCTCCTTCCTTTCAACCTATTCAGTCTTCCTTTATTTTGCTGTTAGATAATCAAGCATTCTTTCTATATAATAAAATCTTCTCAACATAGTTCTTTTACTGGTCATTCAGTTTAGTGTTCAACACACACTTTCAGCAACTATTATTTTTGACCCCATTTCTTCTCATTTTAGCACACATACTTCTTACGAACCCCATTCCTGATGTATTAAATGTTTATTCTGGCATATGCAGCTCTCACGTCTATATCACTTGGTGGCTGGAACATTGAAAGAAGCACATTTCAAATACACTTGAAAACAAGAAATACAGTGTATGCAGTCCAATATATAACAATATATAACAAGGAGTATAGACCAGCATTTATTTTTAAGTGAATACACTGCATTTATTATTTAGAATAACATTTGTTCACGCATGTTTTGCAATAGACAATGTGAGAGACAGAAGAGAGAGTGTTTCTTTTAAAACGGACTATGACTATTTTAGAGAAGGTCCTTGACGCAATCATCAATAACATATAAACAATATAGAAAGCATGGAAAAACCTTGGCCTGGAGGCCTGAGTTAACTTGATGATTTGTTATCAGGTATTCCAGCAGCTCCCTTTTTCTCACCAAAAACTCACATCCTTTCCTTTTATTACTTAAAAGTTGGAGATAAGCAGCCCAACATACTCAGTAATGTTTTGGCAGAAAGAATTAAGAAATTATCTGTTTCTTTAAAACGTATACTGATGGCCCTGGCAATGGAAAATGAAAACCTGATTAACTTTCAACTGGATTTCAGCAATATGGTCACCCGAAGATAGCAAGGTCAATTAGTATAGAATGGGCAAAACAGAGTGCAGTCAAGGATAGCCAGTACTTTATGCCTGTTGGTTGACTGATTTGACCACCAGTCAGCTTCTGAGCCCAATTCAGAGAGCTAGTTATCATGTCCAAACTCTATACCAGTGGTTCTCAACCTGTGGGTCGGGACCCCATTTGGGGTTGAACGACCATTTCACGGGGGTCGCCAAACAACGCAGTCCGCCATTTTTTTCCCCTTTTCCTTAGCTGTGCTACTCCTTTTATTCTATTGGCTTTTTAAAGCTAATAGAATAGACTCTCTTGAATAGAGTCTAATTCTATTGGCTTTCAAAAGCCAATAGGAATTGTCCAGACTGTCTCTGCCCTGCTGAGCCCGCCAAAAGTCCCATTCTGCAAAGGGTGCTGCAAGTTGTCTGCAGCGAAGACGAGCTGTCTGGAAGTTTCCACCCCTTCCTGCTGAATAACTACTAAAAATGTAAGTAAAAGAGGGCCAGGGGTGGGAGGTGGGAGGCCGGCGGGCGCAGGGAGGGTTGCTGGCGCGCGTGGGGCCCTGCGGGTGCTTTACCTCCCTTGGGTTGGGCCAGCTGGTGGCCCAGCCGGTGGTCGGCCTGCACCATCTCTGCTGCTTGCCAGCTACGCCTCGGCCGGCGCAGGGGGCAACACCACGCATGCGCGGCGCTCCTGGGCAGGGAAAGTCCTCGACTTATGACCGGTTGGATAGTCCTCAACTTATGACCGGTTGGGTAGTTCTCGATTTACGACCGGTTGGGGTCACGGCATTAAAAAAGTTGAGAACCACTGCTTTATACAAAGAACAGGATACACCTGAAAGGGCCTTACCAAGTATGACTATACCCATCCACTTCAAACATCAAAGGAAATCCTGCTACAGATTCCTGCCCCATGAATCAATGGAATCTGAACTAGGAAGCTATTTTTCCTGGAAATAGCTCCCACATATTATGAAATATCTTTTTCTAGAGGTGTGGTGGCCCCTGTATTCTTTGCATTCAAGGAGGCGCTTAAAGTGTTTTTATTGAAATCTTTGAAATGTTGAAGATTTTGTCTTGTTTGCTCATGTTCACAATCCTAAGTTAGTCCAACTAGGACAATTTCTAAATGCAAAAAGGCAAATCCAATAGGTTAAAGCAATGAATTAGTCTACCTTAAAATAAGCTACACAATTCAGTAGAAAATATAAAATAAATAGATCCCAGAAAATGATCTTACAGAATGGATAGGAACATATAGCGAAAGGCATTATTCGGCCTACTGTGGTTGCAAGCCATGAAGGGCTGTAGTGGTTCAACCTAAAATCTTACATTGAACTAGAAACTAATTGGGAGCCAGTGAAAATCGCAAAGAACTGGAGCAATCTGCTGTGTCATCCACTTCCAGAAAGTATAGGTAGTCCTCAATTTATAACAGTCCGTTTAGTGACTGTTTGAAGTTACAATGGCACTGAAAAAAGTGATTTATGACCATTTTTCACACTTACAACCATTACAACATCCCCATAGTCATGTGATCAAAATTCAGATGCTTGGCATATTTATGAGGGTTCCAGTGTCCCAGAGTCACGTGATCACCTTTTGCAACCTTCTGATAAGCAAAGTCAATGGGGAAGCCAGATTGATCTAACAACTGAGTTATTAACTTAACAACTGCAGTGATTCACTCAACAACTGTGGCAAGAAAGGTTGTAAAGTGGGGTAAAATTCACTTAAGAAATGTCTCACTTAACAACATAAATTTTGGGCTCAATTGTGGTTGTAAGTTGAGGACCACTTGTACTTGATAGTCCCATGTATAACACATTGGACTTATATAATAATCTAGATAATGGGTTATTGTAGTGACCCATAGCTGACACATGAATCTGACTTGGTGAAAGATGCTTCATGCCACAGTAGGCACTAGTCAAGAATGGACAATGTCAAGGATGGATCCAGAAGCAACTCAAACTTATAAATGGCATCCTTTAGGATACAAAACTGGTAAAACTTCATTCATCCAGTACTTGGGGAGGACATCAACCCTTCCAGCACTGGATTGTGTAAGCAATCCAGTGCTGGGGATGGATTTCCCCAACCACACAATACAGAAGCATTTCTCAGTATGGTTGATCTCCAGGTATGTGAATTTAGCCTGTGTGGCAGTTGTTGAGAATTTTATAAATTGAATTGCACATATATGAAGCATGGTTTGGTTATGGAACACTGCTTTGGAACACATAGATGATAAAGGAGAATATTTGTACTCAGGGTTGACATGAGAGGTCCTTGGTACTCTCTGAAAAAATAAAAGAGAACTTCTTCCTAAATACATATCTTAAAGATCATCTAATGCTGGCTGGAGAATTCTAGGAGTTGAAGTCCACACATTTTAAAGTTGCCAAGGTTAAGAAACACTGCCCTAGATCATTTATTAAAGAAAAGCCTTTCTGGTAGACATTTCAATGTCATGTCATTGGAATTCCAACCATGCAATATTTCGATTAAAGCTGATTAAGGCAACTAAAAGAAGCAAACTGTTTAAGAGTGGTTGTGCCTGCTTCCAATTATGAAAAAGAAATAATGATGCTCTGTCTCTAATTCCACTTAGCAGTGGCATCAATTATTACATTCTGGGATTGTGAT